GGGGGGACTAAAGACAAAGTAATAGGGACTAAAGATAAGGGAAAATAATAGTTTGTTTTTTTTTTTACCGAGTTTTTGGTGAAAGTGCTGAGTCAGCCCTGCCAGTGGAAAGGCATGCCGGTGTTATGGAATATATATATATATATATTTGGAAGGCAGGGGTTTTATCCTCGAGAGAAAAGGAAAGCAGACTGGAAGGATGTTTGATGCTGCAGCGAAATTCTCTTCTGTCAAAATTTTCTATCTTCTATCCCTTTCTCAATTTCTATCTATGAAAAATATAAGGTATAGGGTAGTGTAGGAAAAACTTAGAAGTGTAAGATTGTGTAGGAATAAGTAAGGCAACTAGACAGAAAAACGCTTCAAATTTCTAATTTTGGGGGCTTTGAAAGCAAACGGGAAAAATCTTTCTTTGGGCTTTACGAGAAGCAAAAAAGCTCCTCTTTGAGCTTATGGGGAAGAAAAAGTTTCCTATGGAAGCTTTTGACCTGGGGACAGCTGAAATGGTAAGTCCAAGCGGCAGGAGAAAATGTTTTCTCCCTGAGGCAAAAATAGGGGTGTAAAAAGCCAAAAAGTTTAAAGTTCAGAAGTTTTGGGAAAAGTTGGTCTCTCTCCTGGGGGGAAAAATCTTTCTCTTAAACTATAAAGCTTTTCTTGGAAAATTTGGGGGGAAAATCTCTAAAAAGCCTTAATCTTTCTCTCTTAAGAAACTTAAAATCTAAAGCCTTTCAGAACTCGCTCTCTCAGAAGGACAAAAATTAGAATCACCTGAAGACAGTATGGGGACCACCTGTGATTAGCTCTAAGGGAAAACAACAAATTTAAGACAGCAAAACCTCGAAGTTCTCTTTCAAGCTTTAAAAATCCTCCCTGAAATGCAGGAGGCAGGAACAAGTTTCTTAAAACCCCTTCTAAGCTCTGTTTCTTTCAAGCTAGTAAAAGACAGTGGGGCAGAGTACCCTGAGGGAAAAGCTTGGAAGAGTGTGGGTGAAGAGCTACAGAGAGAGCCCAAAAGGGCAGGAAATTTTACCTGAGAAAAGCAAAAAAGCCAAGCTTCACAGTTACAGCCGAGCTGATGAATCAAGGGTTTTGTTTGAATGAGCATTTCAGAATGAAAAGGTGCTCCTAATTGTCCTAATGCAAAGATCCCCTGAAGCAATGCAAACTGTTAGCATTGTATCCTTGCTTCTGACCAAAAAGCCAGGGGCAACTGGCCAGCATCTCTGAGTTGGAGTGTATTTCGGGGATACTAGGATTCCTGCAGTTGTAAACTTCCTGGAGCACAGAGCTGAGACAGGAAGGTGAAGGACCCAGGGGAAAACTGCTAATAAACAAAGCTAAAGCCGGTGAGAACGGCACAGTTGTCCACTTTCCTACAAGTCCCGGGTTGATAGGTCCATAGCTGCAAAAAGAAATCTGAAAAAAGCTTTCCTATCAGAGTAAGGACCTTTCTGGGAAAATAGTAAAGCTGAACTGTGTCTGAAGCAGTTGTGCTGCTGAGTCAGAACACTGTCTGGGGAAAGAGCCCAGCCAGGGCAGAACAGAACTATCCAGGAGTAAAGCTTTCTTTTCTGTCAGAGAAAGCATCTTGAAAGACCCCCACTCCATTATGAGGATATGGGGCGTTGGGCCAATGAAATGCTCCCCCCCCCCAGTCCCAATAACTTAGCCTAAGAAACGCCATTCTGAAGGGAAAAAAAACCAGGAGTTCACAGCTGTGGCCAGCCACCCGGCCTTGAAAGAGACATAACTATGGCCAGCCATCCGGCTTTGAGAGAGAAAGATAACTGTGGCCGGCCATCCGGCCTCGGGAGAGAGATAACTGTGGTCGGCGGCCTTGGGAGAAAAACAGTTGAGTCAAATCAGGATATTTTATGGCTGGCCCCCTGGCCTTGAGGAATAAGCAGCTGGGCTGGAAAAACACCCACTATACCCTGGGCAAGGCCAAGTCAGCCACATATCAAACTTCTGAGAATTA